ATATATATATAACGTCGTTGCCGAGTGGAAGGATTAAAACAGGTCTTAGGTCGGGAAGGAGGGTACAAAATTTATTTATTAATTATTAGACAACAGCAGTCATGAGAGTGAGTAAAAGAGAACACGAAAAGTTGCGCTCCTTGGTTATATGTTAGGGAAAAGCTTGCAAAGTAAAATCCGTAAACTGTTTTAATTTAGGGAAAGAGGGAAGTCTTAGTAGTTGCTATTAGTTTATGAAATAGATCGAATGTTTCCCACACAGAGCAAAGGGAAATATGTCCTGCTTTTAATTAAATGCATACTTGTGCCAAAAATAGATTTAAGAACAGGATGTGGCTTTTAAAAAATTGAGAAAGTATTTCGATTAGAATAATAATTAGCATGAAGTTTTATAGCAAGGAAACTAACATAAAAATATTAATTGAAGCTTTTTATGTTACATGTATATATATNTATGCATTAAATATATATATATTGTGCTTGATTAAAGTATTAAAGTGAATTTCGCAATTAAAAATGTCATTATTTCTAAGAGCTTCAAGAATGTTCTTTCAAATTGTGCCGATAGTTTAGTTACATGAAATCTTCTAAAGCATTTACGGCTGAAAAATGTTTACGTATAGTAAGTCTAGAAGTGTTAAAATATTTTTCTCCAACCCGTGTAGGACTTGAACGTATGCATCAGAACTTCAATACAGTAATACAGAAAGAAAAATTTCTCTGTGCTTTTTTAAGAAAATGTCTTCTAGTTGTAGCTACGGATTGTCTTTGAATGTTTGATAAATTTGATATAAATTTAAAGTTATTTTTCACACCACTTGTAAATTCTTCCAAACCTCACAGGAGACACGGCTTTTTTCCAGCTCTTGTGGTGAGGCTTTTAAAATCAAAATTTCCACAAATTCTGAAAGTTTAGCTCTTAATTGTGTTAAAAAAAAGTGTTCAGCTGTTTAAGAAATTGTATTAGCTGTCATCTATTGATGTGTATTTATTACCTTATTCTACCACTCTCTAAGTAGTGGAGAAGTGGGGATACTTAGTATCCACTCGAGTGAATTTCAAAAATTTCTGTCTGTGATTATATTATTAAATTGCTTAAGATCTGTAGCATGCAGAAACTAATCACGGATTAGGAGTCAATGACTCAAAAATCCCGAAACTCCGTCCGAAAAATAAATGTTCCAGTGCTTAATTTATGCAAAGCAAACGAATAAAATATTTCTCTGGAATTAATTCAATATTATTTTGGTTTTACTTTCACTATAGAATCTCCCTGTCATCCTAATCCTTGTGGAGTAGGAGCTTGTGTAGAGATTGGTGACAGTTATACGTGCATTTGTCCCGCTGATGGAGTTTCTTACGCTGAAAACTGTGGTATTCTAATTTGTTTTCTTTTTCTTTAATTTATGACTTCTTAGTAATAATTTTATTTAGGCACTTCTCTTTAACTGGATGACCAACTGATAATTTTTTAGCAGAACCTTAAATTGTTCATGTAGGCAGAAATATGAAGTGTAATCTTTTTTGACGTAAATTCCTTAAAATCTTATTAAGAATTTTCGTCTTTAAAAATGATTTAGACACATTTTTTTAATTGGATGTCCAAGTTATAATTCTTTATCAAAACCTTAAAATTGCTCGCAAAAGCTGAAATATTAAGTGTTTGAAAGAACTGTTAGGCGTAAATATAATTTTTTTACTAAATTTATATTTTTATTTTTATTTTATTACTGAATAAAAATATTTTTTGTTTTAAGCTGCCCTTTGAATTTGCCTAGCTTAGCCCGTTATAAGTAAAAAAAATTCTAGCATTTTCCAACTAAAATGTTTTTGAGAATGAGATTTTTATTTGTAAAAAGAAATTCATTATTCAACTTACCTAAAATTAATTTGGTATTTAAGACCAACATTTGATGGAAAGGTCGGTTAGGTTTTCAAAATTTTATGAACTGTTAAGAATTGGCAGCAAACTCAAATTGCTAATCTCATAAAATAGGCCATTTATAAATTATCTGTTAATTGGTTAAGATGAATAATAACTGGCAATAAATAATAATAACCAACGAAGAGGGTGAAAGTGATTAATTTAAGCTAATTTGTTACATTTAACGGTTATTAATAATAATAACCAATGAAGTTTGTTAAATGTAATATTTTCGCATATTTTCAAGCTTTTGCAACACCATGAATAAATAAACTGATTGTTTAGTTTAGATTTTAGGCTCCCAATTCTTTCTTTGTCATTTTCTTGCGAGTATATTACAGTTTTTCACAATACAAGATAGTTTATTTAACGTATTTTGCAGCTGCACAATAGATAACGTTTTAGAGAAGTCATGAAATCACGTTTTAACCACTACTTAGACATGCTCGAAACAAAACAAAACAAAAAGGTAAAAATGAAATCTATTCCGAATGTCACAATAGCTTTTCCTGCCAAAATAAATAACTTGTTTAAAAATATGTAATATTTCAGTTCAAAGCAGTTATGCATTTCTATTATTTTTTTGAAAAGTGATGTGATTAAAAATTAAAGTATACCCTATACTAATGTTGTTTTTTTTTTTTAAATTAAGTGCCTCTACCCGGAATACATTTTCTAGGTATACCCTACACTGATGTTTTTTTAAATTAAATGTAACTGCCCGGAATACATTTGTCCGGTATATCCTACACCGGTTTTTTTTAAAGTTAGTATCGCTGCCTGGAACCCATTTGGCCGGTATGCCCCATACTGATGTTTTTGAAATGCCACTGCTTGGTATAGTATAGGCTGTTCCCGGTATAGCCAAACCATAAGCTGTTTCAGCATACTCATCAGCGTCTCTAAATGCTGTTTAAAATTTTTCTCTCGTTGTAGTTAACACTGAATGCAGTGCAAGTTCGCGTTTTTATTTTTCACTTTGACCAAAAGAAGCGATAATTGTTAATTTTGGCATTTTTATCAATAATAACCGGTTTATCTCTTCAACCGTAACACATATACAAAGACGCACACCCATGTCCCAATTCAAAATAAACCGTTTAATCACATTTATAAGACTTCATTGGTTATTATTAATAATAACCGGTTGTTATTAAGAATTACCGATAATTATTAAACACAATCGGTAATTATTAATAATAACCGGATTTATCACTTTTACAGTAACAAATTCCATGTCATAGATTAACCTTGAATCAATGAATATTAAGGGAAAGTGTTTTGCATAGTTTCCGTTCTGTTAATTTTCGTACACTTATCGAGCACCTTTCGCACACTCGTGATTTTATTTATCATACACTTTGATCTGTAAGTCACATTACTTCTTTCAGATATAGAAACTATAAGTAAATAAAAATAATTGTCTTTTTAAAAGCTTAGTTGCCTTCAAATGTAACTCAGAATTTAATAACGTGTATATCAGTCTAATAAGCCGTGGAACTAGGGTAATAATAAGTCTAGTAGATTTCTATACATTTACAATCTCGCTTCATACGAGAGTAAATTATCTCAAATCTCTTCTTGATAAGAAATGCATGAATACATTTTCCCCAAACAAATACAGCTGACAGAATTTATCTTCGATTTTAGAATATATAATAACAGATTGCAGTAAAATGAAATACAACATTTTAATTTTTTATTTCGACGTTTTTCTTACACTCCCAAATTTTTATTTTATTTTATATATTCATTATATTCATTCCTTTTTTTAAGTTATTTAGGTTTTTATAATTTTTTTGCGGACATTTTTATTGTTTACTTATGGTAAAGCAGGAAATTTTTAGTGCAGAGAATACCGGGAAATTATTCTTAATATTTAAAAAAAAATACATTGTCGTCTATCGTTGCATCGTGCCATGTAATAACTGCTATTATTATTAACATCAATGTAGGGGATATCGGGCAATGCTATTAATGTATATTATTTATTGTTTCTTAATAAACAGATTAATCGGGGAAATAACTTATTTTATGTATTTTATGGGCCTTTTTGAACAGTTAACACTTCTACGTTATTCCCTAAACTTTTACATGCAAGTTAAAGGACCATTCACTATAAAGTATTTTCAAACCATACTATAAACTAGTTAATCATTATGAATTGCTGAGAAGTTATCGTTGCCATCCTCTAGAAAATTTTGGATTTTGAAATTTCTTCTATGCTTGTTCAATATTCATATTTTGTCTCATATTCATACTCATCGCTGTGTTCATATTTTGACAAAAATAGTAGTTTTTTTTTGACAACGTAAAGATTTTACGACATTTTAAAATTTTAATTTTTGTGACTAAGGATAGGGTATTTTCAATTTGAGAAGTAGAATACGTGATTAGGCTTAACACAGTGATTTAAATAACTTGTTTTCGCTTGTACACGTGAACGTGCTTGGCGGATTAGTGCTACAACAAATAAGCTTGGTCTATTATCACGCTGAATTGATTTTCGAAACAAATTTAATTGGACACCTGTATAGAGCTGAAGCTACGATTTCCCTCCTCATGACGTCACTCTGTCTACAGATCTCGGAGATCGCAAGCAAAGTTATGATAACTTTGCATCTTTCTCTTGTAAAAGTAAGTTAGACTTTTTCTGGTTATTAGCCTTCAAACTTTACGTAATTAACACATTATTTCCGTTCATAAACATAGTTCAAAAAAAACTTTCTTGGTTATTATATTAAAAAAATACCATTTTAAACTTATAAAAATGTTTTGCTAGTTGGTGAAAATGACACGATAAATACTTTATTTTAAAAAGTTCAGTTTTAACTTTAACTATTAAGAAAAATGAAGGCATATATCGACACTTTTTTTATCTACATATTCTTTTATAAAGATAAGTTAAGTTAAATTTAGAATCCCTGATTTTAAAATATGTCGTTAATAGCAATTTGTTCATACTTAATCATTAGGAAACATCAACCTTAAACGCTAATTACTGAAACAAAATAATAATTTAGGTTCATAATGACATTAGAAATTTTACAATTGTTTATAGACATTTAAATTTACGATGATATAATATATAGATATTTAAATTGAAGAGAATATAATTTTTAAAAAAAATCATAAATATTTAGAATAACTACATTAAAAAATATGTTATGAAATTAGGAGAATTTCAACTATATACTATATATTTTATTTATACTTTTTACTTACATTTTAATTTTCTTTGACTTTATCTATTTTTTAATTCTTTTCACCTGCCTTTCTTTATGAAGTAACGAGGCGGTTTCTATTTAGATAATGAATTTTTATAAAAGTTCTTTACGACAGAATAAACGTATTGCTGTTTTATATTAACTGTGTCATTTCGGAATCCATTCTTTACATAGTTGTTCATTTACTTTAGGGAACACGCGAAAAATTATACTTTTTCCTTTTGTTTTTATATCAGAATTTTTGCAAGTTGCAATCGCGCAAACTGGCATTTCGATAATAGTTTTAAATTCTTGTAAATTCACTGCAAAAACTGAGGAAAGTCATTATAGAAAATAACAAATGTCTTAGAATATCTCGCAAAAAGAAATGATCCAATATTAGTTAGAGCTAGTAAGGCCAAACGCTCCGTTCTTGAAGTAAAAGTGCGAGCTTTGCGCCAAAGTGACGTCACTAGAGTGACGTCGGAGGATCGGAGCGGCAAGAGATACTTCAAAGGAGTGAACCAGCCCTTCTATTCTCTTTAACCCTGAGGTCGAACCTGATTGGCTTCTGAATCTTGTCGTAAAAGAATGCTACGTTTTTACTACGATGACGTTCCTCGCAGCTCTTTAGATTTTCTTTTAGTACTTTGTTCGCACTTTGGATGTTTTGTAACTTTAATTTTTTGATTATTATTTTTTCTGTTTTAGTAACAGTAAACTGTCACCCGAACCCTTGCAAAAATGATGGAGTGTGTGTATCTTCATCTGGAGCGACTACGTACGAATGTGTTTGTCTGGAAGGTTATAATGGGACAAATTGTGAAACTGGTAAATTATTTTGACTTTTGTTTTATTAATCACTTTAAGCGAAAAAAGTACTTGTTTGATAGCAGAAAGAAGAAAATTAGTAAAAGTTATTGTAGACAGCACTTTTCTGATAAAAGAAAAATTCACAATAAGATTTAATTTGGCACAATTTTAGCAATAGTAATCACACAGAAAAAAATATCCTCCTCCACTTTTCACGAATCTATTAGAAAGTACGAAAAGTTGAATCCTGAAAGTTTAAAGGAATGTTTCTGGTTGCTTCTAATGACATATGTGCAAAGCTCCCAAATTATAATACCCTAGTATCAATTTTTATGCCGATTTTAAAATGGCACCTTTGTTGTTGTTGTGTCCAATCCTTCACAATATAGCCTCAGCTATATCAAATCCATTAGTCCAAATTCTCTGGCAAAGTTGCACACCAAAATTGGTCGCAAGAGAATGTTATCCAAGGAGAATGCGAGATTATCATTCATGTGGTCGGGGGAAGAATGCTTCAATTTGCACTTGCTACATGATGGGAAGACTTTTCACCAAATTAGTAAAGTCAAACTTTTTAAATGGCTACTGATGAACTGTGAAACTGCCCATTGATCCGATATATCTTACCTGAACTCTAGAGCACCTCCAAGGTTTTTTTCTGCCACAGGAGGGATTAACCAGAGTTGCCTGTCGCAGTTTCTCTTCAGGGAGAAATTTTTTTGATTGGTAATGAGGTAGTCAGATGTTGTAGCCTAAGTAGTGTCTCCTTTTAGCTTGGCGATCTGCGACTTTATTACTAGGAACCCCAACATGTAATGGGATCCATTGTAAGAGGAAAAACAATAATAATAATAATAATGATGATAAATTTTACTGTTAAAATTGTTTTTTTTTTAAATAAAAAGGAAGATAGATTAATTAGCTAATCCATTTCATGGTTCAGATTGGACTCGATAAAGCACAAGTTTGCCAAACTTCCTTAGTGTAAAGAAAATTGGTACCGAAAATGGGGAGAATTACCTTACACCAAAGATGTTTAGTGAAACACTCAATGTTAAAAAAAAGTTGAAGCATAACAACACCAAAAATTGTGGCACTTATTTAACAAAATTATTTAGTGACGCAATCACAAGGGAAACTAGGGAGGTGTGACTCGTCAATTTTGAAATAAACTAGTAGGATGTATGCCTTATGAAGAATAATTTTAGGGGGCAACATTCGTTTCGGCCCATAGAGGGTCCTATGAGAGATAAAAAATAATTAAGTATGTAGAAAAATCGGTATTTCATTATTTCAATGCAGACTATTAGTTATTGTAATTATCTCATACTCCAATTAATTTTGTGGTACTTTCACGTACTATATAATGCATATTTATTGTCAAAATTGATTTCGAAAATTTTACATATCTGTAGTTTTTCAGAAAAAAAAATTGGCATTTTAAAAAAAATTGGCATCAAATTTTTAAATTTTTTTTTTTTTCAAAAAGTTTTCCAATATTGACTGATGGAATTTTTTCATATTTAATGTGTATCCGAAAATGTGATTTATAGAAAAAAAAATTTCTTCGTATTGTTAGATCTTGCAAAAAAATCTGAAATAATTTATGTGATTGCATAAAATTAAATTGCATTTATAAAAATGTTTTCAAATTTGTTTGGCGGGAAATTTGAACTTAAAAAATGTTTAATATTTCAATTCGATTTTTTTCATAAAAGATCAACTGTACTGTATACACAAAATTTGAAGTGATATGTCACTTTAAGTGGAAAATCCGTTGATATCTATGTCCTGTGAATTGTTCAATATTTTGTCAAAACATTGCTATCTTTATAATATTATTTTTATATCTGATATCCTAGCTAATTTTTGAAATATTTAACTTTAAAAGTTGGCATTAGCTAGGATATCAGGTATAAAGATAATTGTATGAATAATATTTCAAAAATAGCAATGTTTTGACAAAATATTGAACAATTCACAGGACAATTTTTTTTAATAATATGTTAATTTTTTGGCAAAAAATTTAAA